CAGAATTAACTTACGGGTTTTGGCTCAGTTGGCATGCAGGCTAAGCATGTGGGAAGAGCTTTCGGATTCAATTTCCACTAAAAGCACCTATAGAGAAGGGCGAAAAGTCTTAACTGCAACTAAGTCCAGGGTTAGCTTAATGCGTAACTAGTAAGGAATACATAAAATATAAGTTTGATGTCTAGTTAATACAACTTTTGAAATAATAATTTGTACATATTTCGAATATCTAACAAGTATTTAACTGATCTAATTTTATAAGTTAGAAAATTCAATAGAATGGAATTTGCAAGTTTAAGTATTTAATACATGTAATTTTATAAATTAAAGTATTCGATGGATGGTAAAGTAAAAAATTGAAAATGTAATGTAATTTTTTGTTAAAAAAAAAAGGATGAATTTATATATTTTGATTTTTGATTATTTTTATCACACGGGTGTATACACACATGCAAAAAATTAAAAAGATAAGTTTCTTTTTTTGAAATTTATAGAATAACTTAAAATTTTAAAACTTGTTATGACGTTTAAAATTGTTAGGGTTGGTATTTTATGCTGTTGTTTCTATTATTAGACATGATTACCTCTTCAAAAGCATGGATTTGATGTAGCGAAAGTTTTTGATCCGTTGCAGGATGAGCAAGTTGTGAATAATAACGGTTTTGGGAAGCAATTGATTATCGATATTCCATTAAAGGACCGTGCTGTGGTCCAAGATGCATAAGAATTAGAATTTGGAGAAGCATGAAAAATATATGGGCTAATTTGTATTTTCATAAATAAAAAAAAATCTTACAGCACCATCAATTTTAATTTAAATTTATTAAACATTTTGACTTATTACTTTAAATTGACCCATTAAACACTTATAGATTAATTATTTGTTTGATAATTGAAAAATATGAAAATTAATTATTCAAAAAACTATAGTATTGCATATCAAATGAATATTTTACATAAAAAAAAAACAAAAACTTTAGAATTTTATTGTTGCTAGTGTGAGATTATTATAAATAAAATAAAATTCAAGGTGTCGCTGGTCGATTTTAAAATTAAAAATGCCATAATTTCTTTTGTGAAACTTCAAAGTCTAAATTATAAGTTTAATCTTCAATTTCACTCCGAATTTTTTGAATAATGGCAATTTTACTTTAAATTGGCTTTTGTACCCTAGGTAATCTAAACTTATCAACCTAGTGGCAATTAACTCTAATTTGCTTTTAGAGTGCAATTGCACCATAAAAGTAAATTTCAACACCCTAAACTTGTCAATTTGTTGCAATTACATCCTAAAAGTAAAAGTAAACTCAGGTTAGAATTTCAATTAAAATAATGTAAAAAAATGAACTCCATACCCAAGTATTTAAACAATAAATAATAAATATAAATATAAATAATAAATAAATCAAGAATGAGTATTTTATTTTAAAATTGAACTAATTTTAAGATGCAAAAATAATGAGTTGGATATTAATTCAAATTAGGGTCTAATTGTAACTAGTTGATAAATTTAAGGTGTTCAGAGTACAAAAGTTAATTTAGAGTGAAATTACAACTATTCGAAAAGTTCGGAGTGCAATTGAAGTTTAGGCCTAAATTATGTATTGTATTATTCTCATTTCCACTAACTTCGTTTATGAAAGAGACAAAATCTCATTAGTTTATTTTAAAAAATATATATATATATATTTTTTTTATGACCCTATTTCAAATTGAATTCATATTCAATACTTTTAGTTTGATACATAGGAAAATTGAAGTTGACTACATACATTCTACATTTATAGATGGTTCAAAACGAATCAAATAAAAAAAAACCAAATATATTTTTTTATTTTATATATAGAAGAAATTTAATCGAGTCAAATTAGTCCGATTCCATTTGTTGAATTTTGATTTATTTCCTAAGTTCAATTAATGTATTTTTTAAAGTTTTAAAAAATCAAACAAAAGGATACTCTAATCATGCTAGAAGTGGAAAGCTTTCCTTAGTATGAGCATATAAGGCAATGAAATAATAAATAAAAAATGATATAGTAAACGGTCCAAATACATGTCAAGTTGTTGAATTGTTGAAGCCATAAACCCATATATATCAATTTGGCACACAAGCGATAGACGATACCCCGAGATAGACAATGCCAGGCACATGTATCTGCTGACATAGATCACCCAGAATTCTTCAAGGACTAATTCAAACATTGTTCATCTCTTTTTTTTTTTTTTTTTTCTTAAAAAATCAAACAAAAGGCATCACTCCTATATCATGAGTATGAAGTGAAAAGGCGTTTCCTTAGTAATGAGCATATAAGCAATGAAATAATAATATTAAAATGATATATGTAAGACGGTCGCAAATAGCATGTCATAAGTTGTTGTATTGGTTGAATCCATAAACCCATATATATCAATTTGGCACACAAGGTATCCGACGATCTCTCTCCAGAGTATGACAAATGCCAGGCCATGTATTCTCCTGATACGATCACGACCAGAATCTTCAGGACTAATTTCAATACATTGGTTCATTGCTCTTTTTTTTTTTTTTTTTTTTTTTTTTCCTCAAGGCTAGGAAATTTATAGGAATTTACATTGATGTATGAGCCCACCACCGTACACAGAGAAAAAAAAAAATAGTAACATTTATATATAATATATAGAAGTAAAGAAGTTTATCTTAAATAACATTTAAGTATAAATCTTTTAAATTGTCAAGTGTAAGAAGAGCAGTTATTTAGTATAATTGTAAAAAGATAAATTGTATTTACAGCAATTCTTAGAAGATAAGTTGTTTTATATTTTCAACTAATGTCACATAGGAGGAAAAAACAAAATAAGCTAAACTAATATTAATAAGAAAAAACTATTTTATTTGGAAATAAGAAAATAATGTAATGGAAAAGAATTCTGATAATTTTCTCTTCAAATTAGAAAGAAAATAAAGAAACTATAAAAATAAATTTGTAGAGAAAAATTAATTTTATTTTCATTTATATCCAATAAAATAAGTAACATAAGTTTTTTTCGAAAAAAATTTAGTTCCTTTTTTATTTTTTTTTTTAAATTTAGTTCCGAACAATAATGTCAGTATTCAAGAATTGGCCGGGTCTAATTTTTTTCCCCTGTTCATAAGTTTTTTAATCCAATAAACCCCCCTCATGTTTAGAGTGACGCTTTGATGAAAATTGATTAATGAAAGAATTAACTTCTAATCTTGATTCTTTACTCTGCATTTTCCTTCCTTTATTAATTTTATTTTTCTTTTATATAAGAAAACTAAGTAACATAAGTTTTTTTCCAAAAAAAATTTAGTTCTTTCTTATTTTTTCTGATCATTTATTAATAAAAAAAAGCACAAAATAAATTTTAAAAAAATACTTCATTTATTCTTGTTAATAAAAAATATCGGTTGGTTAGCTTGGTAAATAGAACAGTCTTATATACTAGGAGTTAAGTTGCACGGACACAGACATGAGATACAGAAACGTACATATTACAATAATTTTTAACAAAGTAGGACATCCACATGCTTAGGACACACTAAATTAAATAAGTATAATATATTAATATTTCAAATAAATAAATAATCATTTATAATAAATCATAAACATTAAACATAAAATAAAAAAATACTTAATTCTTATTTCAATATAGTAGTATTCTCAATATTTCAAATAAATAAATAATCATTTATAATAAATCATAAACATAAAATAAAAAAATACTTAATTTCTTATTTCAATATAGTTAGTATTCTCAAAATTATTATCACTATAGGAAAATACATTAATAGTGTGTGTATTTTTTGATGCAGGTCATACTAGAGGTGTCAAAATGTACCTGACATGCGAACACAATTCGCCTAACACGCGAAATAAATAAGTTAAGGCTGACATGCTAGAGGTGTCATAAATGGGTATTTTGTTTATAACACGAACATAAATGTGTCGTGTCGCGGGTTGACACGCAGGTTAGACAAGTGACCCATTTATTTAAGAGTAAAAAGATAATTTTAATGTTAGATATAAATACTCCAACTAAAACCTATTTAAATTTTATTGTTGCATTACTTTTTTATTTTAGTTATGAATCGTGAAGAATTTATGCATTTTATGTATGGAAATTTATTTTTAAATATAATCAAAGTTAAATATGTTAAAATTTAAAAATATTATAAACAAATTAAGTGGGTCCTATACAAGTTAAATGGGTTAAAATTTAAAAATATTATAAACAAGTTAAATAGGTCCTATACAAGTCAACACGATCGACCCACCTAACTTGTTTATGATATTAAAAGGGTTACATGAGTTATACATTTGGTCAACATGACCCATTTAACTGTGTCATGCTCGTGTTAATTAATTTTTGTATCATGTTTGTGTCAATAAATTTAAAATAATTATTAAATTGATCATGTTCGTATTGACCCTAATCGTATCATGTGTTAGACGAATCTGTATCGATCCTAACACGTCAACTCATTTTGACACTCTTAGGTCATACGATACATAACTTTTGCTATTACATACCTTGATAAAAACCTTGCAAGATACTTGGCGTTGCAACTTTTTTTAGCATATCTCAATGAAATACGATTATAAATTTTTAGCATATCTCAACGAAATACAATCTTATAACGCATTTCACGATCATTTTATTATATAAATTATTATACAATTTTATTATTTCTAAATAATATCATAAAAGATTATTTCATTGTTCAACACTGGTATTTTTTTTTTTAAACCTTTCTTTCATCGATTCCCATACACCAACCCACAAACCTGGAGTAGACAAAGTTTCCTACCCAGAAACCAGCTCTGTTCACATCATCCATTCCTATCCAAACTGGGTTTTGATATTGACGATGGTTACCTAACCAACAAACTTTCAAAGATACAAATAGAGCCAAAAAAAGAGATAGATCATTGGAATAATAAAACAAAATAGTCAACCAGTGAACATTGGCTGTTAGAAGTTAGGATTGTGCAATTCAATTTAGAGGAAGATAAATTACAAAGGACAATGAAGGTTTTTTAAATATGTCAATCAATCAATAATATAAAAATATATATCCTAAAGTGTACATTACTACAAAGAGTCTCAGAATACAAACATCCACATAAATGTACACCACAAAATACCTCAAATAAGTTTTACGACAACATTTCTCTCCGTTTACCCTCATTTATGTTTGTTTGCGCAAAATGATTGACAAAAATGAAACCAAAGTCCAAACCCCATGTGCTATTCACCACCAGCCATGTTGCCCCATCCAGAAGGCCAGAACCGAAGCCAAAAAACAGCAGAAAAGAAAAGTGAAAGATAAAAATATCACCCAAAAAAACTAGAGACAAATTAATTGAATTTCCACATCCAAGTATTCAAAACCAAAGGGACTGCGTACAGTGAAATTCTCAATCTGAGAAAGGTTGGATCTTGAACCTGTAAAGTAGTTTCTTTTTCTTTGATGTTGAATTGTCCACTGTAAGCAATATTTTACCGAGTTCACCAACTTTAAAGCTGCTAGTGATCACTGGTTCGTCGGTCGGAGCTAATTTTGTGGGTTTCTGTATGATAACTGTGTATGCATCTTTAGCCTCAGGCACGAATTCAGCACCATAGCTCACCTCCCAGCCCACAACCCGGATTTCCCAAACAATAACACATTTCTGCAGTGCACCAATTTGGAATTAGCTACTATATGGAGATCAAAATAGTCATTCATATCTAAAAAGTTGCAAAATGAAGTCAGCTATAAAGAATGAATATGCAAATTAGAACATATCTATTCACCTCATAAATTATAATTTGCACAGTTTGCTTGGTTCCTGGTTTAACAGTTATCTCAGTTGCTGGATCAGCGACTGTAAATTCCGGGTTGCAATCGCAGTAATCCACGCTCAAGCCACCATACTGAATAGGGACTTGTTCAGGTGATATATATCTGTTTTAACCATAAAAAAGTTCAATGCTCAAATTAACCTTAACCACCAAAAAGAAAGCTAAAAATGCAGAATGTCAATATAGCCAAATCAGATAAGCAAGACTTTCACCGACTTGAAAAGTGTATCAGCCGATTTTGATGGGCCTGCAAATACAAATTTACTTTTGGTCCTCTGGGTCATGAATGGACTAATCATTGTGTAGAAAGCAAGATACCACCAAGGCACATTGATGAGCACCTAAAAGAAAATTACAAAACCAATAATAAATATATATCTAAAAAACATCAAATTATCTTTCAATCAAACATCCAATCAGGAATGTAAAAGATTATAATTAAAATCATACCTGTTTAGCTACAAACTCAGGATAATTATCTTGAAGCAATTGCAATGCCTGTCTTGTAGCCAACCTAAGCTCTCTTTTTCCAGGTCCAGGAGAATTCTTGAGATCATTAACCTGAAAAATAGTACAAATACCACCAGGACTAAAATCAAGCTTCCTAATACTCTTTTCCAAGAACTGAATCCTCCATCGAAGAAACTTCAATCGATTTTCCTCTTCAGCAAATGTTTTTTGATACAATTCTTTATTTTGAAACTCTCCATACACATTATAACACACTGCATGCCCTTCCCTATCACTACCATGCATAAACACAAATTTCTCCAAATCATCACCAAGATCTTCATTAATAAGCTCATCAATTTTGAACTCCTTTCTCCATCTGATTGTGTTCTTGATCATAACAAATGCATCTTTAACTTTAAAATCTCTAGCCCTCAAGAACTTCAGGAGTATAACATCACTCCTTTCATCTTTCAGAAGTGGAATCCCCCATATGGAGATTTCTTCTGGTGGAGATGTAACAATTGGCTCTTCTTTTTTAGCACCTTCTTCTTGTTCTTGATCTTCCTTTGGTTGAGTTTCTTCAACTTTTGACTCTTCTTCTGCTACTGGTGGTTTAATTTCTGTACTAACATCAGATTCCGATAAGGTTACAGAGGACACAGGTGGAATTTCTTCAGTTGTTTGTGCTGGTTGTATAATTTCCTGTTTCTCTTCTTTCGGTGGTAGAGAGCTAAATTTGTGGTTGTTTAAAGCTTCCTGAACCAAATGCTTTAGTTCTTCCAAAGCTTTTCTTTCAAAGTCGGAGAGATCAGCTACTTTATTGCTTTCTTCTTTGAAAGAAACCAAAGTTTGAGGAATCTTTTGCTCTTCCATTTGCTTCTCTTTAGCAGCCTCGACTACAACAACCTCTTCTTTATTAACTACAGATTCACTCGACTCTTCACTTTTCTCCTCTATAGCAGCCGCAATTGATGCAGGCGGAGGCGATGAGGAGGAAGATTCTTCTTTCTCCATCATCGCGGCCAGTGATTTAGACTCTTGCGGCGGCGTAGATGGCGGTGGAGGTTCCTCCTTTTCTGTTACGGCTTTTGAGTCAGCCTCTTCCGCTACATGTAGTGGAGCCGGCGGCGAGGTTTCTATTTCTTTTTCCTTTCCTTCCACCGCAGGTGGTGGAGTGTGATCTTCTAGCGGTGGAGGCGTTGGTGGTAGAGCAGGATTGGAAGATTCTTCAGCCATTTTTTTCAGGCAGACAGATAAGGATGTGTTTGTTTCGAGTGGAAGGAGAGAGAAACAGAGGGAGAGAGAATGAGAAAAGAGAGTAAAATGAAGTGAGAGATAAGGGAATGTGTGCAAGTGTGTAATAAGGTGAGAGAAGGGGGAAAAAACTTAAAAAGTCACGCGGCTCTGACTGTTGTTTTGTAGCATCAGATTTGAAAAAAGACAATAGTTGTAGAGGCTGAGGAAAAATCTGGAATCCTATGTAAATATTAAAGTATATCTTACTTTTCGTCTTAATTTATATTTATATTTTTTTTATTTTATTAAGTAGTCTTATCTAATGCAAAATGTTTCGACTTTAAATATTTAAAATCTTTTAAGAGCTTGAATACATATTTTTTAATGTTTCAATTTTTTAATACCGTAAAAAATTTAAAAAGTAAAATAGTAAAAAAAAAAATATTTAGTTTAAATTTATATTGTTTTTAATTTTCTTTATCCTTTTAAATTGTTTATTAAATTTAAAATTATATTCTTTTGAAGCATTTTTAAATTTTTTTTATAGTTTATTTAATTAATTATATTTGAACAAAATAAAGTGATAACTTATTTGATTATTTTGTAAAATTAATTAACTTTATTCTTATATGAATATGAACATTTAAAACTTTATTTAAAATAAAATTTATCAATATTTTTTAAATTCATATTAATATTTTCGAAAGAAAGATATAGCGTTAGAACCGAATTTTTTTAAAAAAAATCGGTTCTATATCGTCGAAAACTGTGATCGGAACAGTCGATTCATCGGAACCGCACTGGAACCAGTCGAAACCGGAACTGGACCGAAACCGGCAGTTCAAGGGTCTGTTCAAGTTCAATATTTTAAAAATTTTGAACCAACGGTTCTGCAAATCGGCCATGCCTAATCCTCCCTATTGCACTCGTCACAAATATTTTAAAAATAATTTTTTTTAAAATTTGAATATAATATTTCAGTTCCATAATATTAGTATCACATTTGTAACTTTAAGAAATAATAAATATTTTTTTCATATTTATATTTATATACGATCAATAATTATTACTTCAATTTAACGATTATCTAATATAATTAAGAAAAAATGTTCATTTTAGCCCTTAAACTTGACCCAAAGATTCAAATAACTCGTAAACGAAGTTTTGGATCAAAAATCTCCTTAATTTGCCCATCCTTTTACTCAGTCAAAGCGCGTGAATAATATATATCCGATAAAATTTTACTGCTGACTTGAATGAAGCTGGCTATTGAAGCGTCACTGAATTGGAAAATAAGGTTTTCGAAATTTCCACCCAAAACATAAGGTTTTCGGTCCAATTTTCATAACCATCCATTATTTGCAATTTTATTCAAATCAATTCGTGTAAGAAAACAAAACAAAGATTGGTTGACTGCATAATCAATTTGGTTTTGTCATGTAGTTTTTAATTTTTGATTATATACTCATGGGTGATATACAGGAGAGCAGATGATGGAATTCAGTGGTTCTTAAATGACTTTCCTTCGTTGATTTATGCTATATTTAAAAATATATATATATTTTTGCAGCAAAAAAGATGACATTCAGAATTTTTCTGCAATTCTTCATTCCAAGAACGGAAGAGTTATAGTTTTCAGCTCAAAACAAAACTCAGAACATTCAACTAAAGCACTTTGTTGGCATGCATTTACACAGAAGAGTCGTTAAACAAAAACAAAAATAGCAAGCCTTCGCATAAGAGATTCACAACAACAAAAATGTGTTGCATTGGTGATTTTTGTTGAACTCATCTTCTTATTCTTTACATCTCTTTTCTTCACAAATGTACTGCATATGACAGCAATTAGGGGGTTTGGATTTTCAATTCGGGTTTTTGTTTATAGCTGTTACCGTTAGCATTTCTAATTAAAAACTATACTCTTAACTCAGTATTTGCTTTTCGCTGACTGCGTGTGCTCACCAACCAGCCTAATCAGAAAAAATGGGCAAATTGACATTGTATTGAGAATTTTAATCCAAAAGTTGATTTATGGGTTATTTGAATTTTTTTTTTTAATCTAAATTGAGGGGGCAAAATGATCTTTTTTTTCCTAGAATTAATATTGTATTAAGAGTAATATAATCAATTTACTCAATAATTTATTGTAACTTAGATAAATTTAGGTTATGTTTGATTTGATGTAGTGTAGTGTAATGTAGTGTAATCAAATATGTGATGCAGTAAAAAAATGTAACGTAATAGAATGGAATGGAATTAAGATTCCATTATTATGTTTGGTAATGTAATTGAAAAAATTTATAGAATGTAATCATCATTCAATTTTTATATTTGCTTGTAAATATGTAATGTAATTAGCACACCACCACCACCACTACCATCATCACTCCACCTCCACAACCACCACAACTACAATTTTACTATCATAACCACCACCACATCATTATTAATAGAAGATAAACGTTTGAATCAAAAGTTATTCAGTATATCAAGCTATGAAAGACTATTTAGACCTATAAATTATTTGGACTTTAAAAAAATTAAATTGAAAAAAAAAATGTAATGTAACAAAAAAAAAGTTAAAGTCTTTGAAAATTAGTTTTTTTACATAATTTTATATATTTTCGTTTAATAAATTAAATTACAATATAAAATTATGTATTTAAATCTTTTTAATAATTTTTCATTCATGTTCCTATAACAAATACAAAAGAATAATTAATAATATTGTGGTGGTAGTGGTAGTAGAGTGGTGGTGTGATAATTAGGGTGGCGGTGGTGGTGAAGTAATGGTTATAATGGTGATCGAGAATGATTATGAGTTTTGAGGAATGTAACGGGTTTTAAATAGATTTATTTGATGTAATGAACATTGCATTAATTTAAGTAATAAAAATTACATATGTAATCTCAATTATATTATATGGTTCAAAGAAAAGTCTAACAAAACAATATAATCAATACTGTAATGTAATTTCTATTTCATTACCTGGTTGATTAATATACACCATACTAAACATAGCCTTAATGGTTTTCTCAAAGGATATGAAATTTTAAATATGACAAATATTATAAATTAGGGATATTAAGTTTAAATATAACTCAATTATAGCTATTAAAATTATTCGTTATTTTTTTAATTATTAGGCAATTCTCTTAAAAGATAGTTGGACGGAAACGTATATATATATTTTTTAACATTTTGTTGTAACCAAACATCTCAATGGAAAAAAAAAATCAGATCATCTTCCTATTAGGTGTCACGTCATGGTAAGGACAGGCTTTTAGAGACAAGGAGGAAAAGCAATACTATAAGAAAATTTGGTACAAATTGTTAAATTCATAGCAATATAGTATTAATTTTACGTAATCAAAAGAAAATAATAATAATAAAAATAATAATAAAGAGTGCTGTACCAATCAAAGGAAGGACTTTGATACTTGATATCTAGTTAGGTATAAATTAATAAGTATAAAAAAATGCAAACAGAAAATCACGACGCCAATCGAAAACAAAACAACAAATTGGAGTATTGTGGAATAAGTAACTGTGGGTACTCCGATGCTTAAGTTAGACAGAGAGCTATCAAGGATTATTATGGTAATTAGAATTAATTAGCCATATTGATGTACTAAAGTTATGATTATATTGGTAGTTTAGATTTAGGTTGGTTCATAACTTCTTTATCTTTTCTAGAATTAGCCATATCGATGTGGCATTTTTCCGTTATCATTCCTTAACAATACTAGAGTTGTATTCAATGTTAAACAAGTTTAAACACAAATTCAAGTTGCTAATGAAGCTTTGATCTAATAGCCAAAATGGAGGTATTTAAAACCAAAAAAATCTTAAATTTAACACTATTGTCCATCATCCTTTATTGATTTATGTAATTTCTGCACTTGTTGAGTTTTGTAATATGCTCTATAAATGGGCATAAAATACCCTCTAATGGACTTAGTAATGTATATAGTATATATAAAATGAAGGTGAACATATGGCTTGAAGCATCCTAATGGACTTGGTATTGTAAATAGTGTTCATGGCTTGGTTTGGCCGGTTTAGGGGTCAGTCCAAACCAAACTTAAGCTTTAACTTTTAAAAAATTCAATTTGAACCAAATCATAAATGTGAACTTCTGGAGTCGAGTGGAAATCGAGTAAGCAAATAAAATAGAACCAAATCAAGCAATTTTTGGTTATCTTATTTGCCTGGCTCGTAAATATATGCTCTTTTGCTAGCTTACTCATTGCTAACAAGCCATGTATAGGCAAGTAAATTCTCCAACCTTTAGGGATGCAAAATGCCATGAATCCGAAAACCTATTTTTATCTCAATAGGGCAATTTTTTAAAATATTTTTAGCTCCTGTCTGAATCCTTCTTGAAATAGAAATATATAATTATTTTTTTATTATATATGTACATTTAATATATTTTTTATTTTATTAAAATATATATTTTTATAAAGCGTGACATAACGAGGATAGAGTGGAAATTTTCTTTTCCTCCTTCAGATAAGGCGACGAGAATGGAAGACACATAGGGAGCGAAGCGGCAGGGTGTTTTAGGATACTAACCATATGCCTGTGTTGTGCACAATTTTAATAAGTATTAATTTTGATTTTTAATTTTAATTTTAATATTTCATTTTTTATTAAAATTATTTTTTAATATTCATATAACTTGTATGCAAACAAATAATTTAAAAACTTGTAAAATTTAAATTTATGATATTAAACTTTAGAATTTTCATTTATTTTGTTTTTCCTTTTTGTCCGTTGCGCTGATTTGTATGGTAAGGATAAGAGAGGGAGGTGTAAGAGCTAATTAAGGAGCTTGGTTCCAAAAATTTTGCTATTTAATTTCATTTCTTTTTCTTTCTTTTGCCTATGGTTCATACCAATATCTTTTTGCTTCTACTTTTGAAGATGAGCGTGGTTTCCAAAGGGTTATTCTTGTCATTTTAAATTAATTATCTTATCTCTCTCTTAATTTTTGACTCATTTTAACGGAAAAATGTGAAAAATATTGATCTAGTTAGACGGAAGTAAATCGAAGGACCACTAATTAATATTGTCAAATAACAGGGATGAGTTGATCAATTTGGTTAAATGTCAAGATATGAAATAATTATTTTTTCAATTAATTAATTTCAATACATATTAAGTGGATGTCAATTAGAAAAGTATGCCACACGTCATTTCTTGAAATAACAGGGCAAGTGGAAATCTTATAGAAAGATTATGCCACATATCAATTTATTGAAAAAAAATATTTGCTTTATATATATACTATGTGGTATCCCGTATTTCGCGCAACTATATAATATTATATTTTTAATTTTCAGTGTAAATGGAAGATAGGGTAATGAGTAGAATGCAAAACTTCATTTTTTCAAAACGATTTAATTACTTGATTTCTGTTACATTGGGAGTACATAATTAAAGAAACATATTAAAATGTAATTTTAGATTCATTATTGCATAAAATAGATTTAAACTATCTTTTGTTGCATACACTTTAATTCCTGCAAAAGTAAATAAAAAAATTGAAATTATCAAGATACAAAATGATAATGAAATTGGAAAAAATAAAACTAAGCAAACAAAATAAACAAACATCAAGAAATTAAGAGGAAATAATAAAATTGCAATTAAAAATATTAAAAGGAAATAATTAAATTTCAAAAATTTAAAAGGCAATTTCTCATGCAAGGAAAAATAAAATGCTAAAAATTTAAAGAATTTGCTTTTCAATTATGCGCCATGTCATCAACTAAAAAAAGTTTCATGATCCTCCTTTTTATATATTATCAAGAATACAAAATGATAATGAAATTGGAAAAAATAAAACTAAGCAAACAAAATAAACAAACTTCAAGAATTAAGGAGGAAATTAATAAAAAATTTGCAATTAAAAATATTTTAAAGGAAATAAATTAAATTGTCAAAAATTTAAAAAGGCAATTTCTCATAGCAAGGAAAAATTAAAATGCTAAAAATTTAAAGAAATTTGCTTTTCAAATTATGCGCCCATGTCATCAACTAAAAAAAGTTTCATTGATCCTCCTTTTTATATATATATATATATTATATATATATATATATATATATATATATAATATATATATATATATATATATATATTCATATATATTCGTTCATATCCTGATTAGTTTCGCACGTATATATTCGTCATATCCTGATTAGTTCGACGAGAGTATAAATAAGAAATAAAGTTTAATTCATCCCCGGACTTGGGAGCAATATTCAGTTTGTCAAAAAATCAAATTGTTACACAATTTACTCCCTTGAACTTGCACAAAAAAAAAAATTTTATTTAGATAAAATACAAATAAGAAATAATCAAGCAAAAATTAATAAATATTTTTAAACCAAATATTCATAGGATCAAATACTTTTCTAATTCTATAATCTTTATGTAAATCAAATATTTTGTTTAATTATTTTTTAAATCAATGATAATACATTATATTTTTTATAATTATTGTTATATTTTTAAATAATTTTTCTTTCACGATTTTAAACTTTTTAAATATTTTTTATTAGTTGAAAATATTTAAACTAATTTTTTAATAAAAAAATTGTGCTTTTTGTACCTTAGTTTAAATTCAGGGAGCAAATTATATAAAAAATTGAGTTTTTGGCAATAGTGAATATTGCTTTCAAGTTTAGAGGACAAATTAAGCTTTATTGCTAAAAATAATGGTAAATGAGTTTGAAACATATAAGAGTAGTAAAAGAATTATTATTCTTGATCGGTATAGGTAGGGTATAATATAGGTCTTTCAGTATCTAATATTCGTTATATGCTACTTCTTTTACAAGGATTATAAAATTTGTAGAACATATTAATTTTCTAAAAATATATGATAGAATATCTAAATTGCCCTTTTTAAAATTAAAAAATCTCCATTAATTTTTGCTACAATACACCTAATAAATATAGAAAATTTTTTTTAAAAAATAAATAATATACTCTTAAAATCCTAAAAGCATTTAAAGAGAAAGAAAGTAAAATACCTATTTTTTGCTATTAAGATGGAAGAGATAAGGTATATTAAACGGGTTTAGTCATAATTACCTATACCAATTATTAGTAAATAAATTCAGATGGTTTAAAATGTTTAAACTACAGTTACCTTTAATAAATATTTTAAATGAGTTTGAAACAGATACATAAGTTAAAGTTTTAAACGGGTTTAGAAATAGATATTTGAATGAATTTACATTCAATACAAATAATAAAACTTTGAATGAATATGGATATAGATTGTTAAAAAAATTTCTCGAATGTCCGTTTCCATCCCTTGGTGCACATAACATTGGCCTCTAAGAGCGAGCAATACTCAAGTCTGATCAAAATCAAATCGAAGTAGTTCATTTGGTTTGATTCATTGAGCAGTCATCACCATTCAGCTTTTGATTTTGATTCGTTTTTATACATAGTTAACCAAATTAATTTTTCATGCGCAAAATAGGTGATTCAGTTTGGCATAATCGAAGTAAATCCGAACCAATATGGTTTGGTTCAATGCCGAATTGATTTCTATTTTATTTGGTCCAATTCTGATTCAGTCTGATTTGATTCCGAATGCTGACCTGTTGCCATTCCACTAACCTTCATAGTTTGGGCACGGTTAGCGAGGGCTGCACGAGGTAGGACTTGGCATGTATAAAATTTCGTGACATCAGGTTCAATGCTTCCAAAAGAATTCAGTCAAAATATTTGGGCCGAAATTGGAATTGTATACCCCAAACAAATAGGCAGAGGCCCACATTCAATTTAGAGCCCTATTAGCAAACCCAAAATCGTGATATCTCACTTTTCGTTTTTGTCTCAATTTCCGAAGGAAGCATAGAACAAAGAACCCTCACCGGTGACGCAAAACGGCATAATACACGTCTAAACGAAGAGACGAGAACAAGAGCAAGAGGAAAACAGCAGCATCTTAAACAAAATCTATGGCCGATAAAGTCGACGTGAATGCCAAATGGGACGCGTGTCTTGATCTGACGGTCCGACGCTCTGTTTACTCCACCTTGGCTGGCGCCTTTGGCGGTCTTCTTTTCTTCAGTCAGTCTTTTCTCTCTGGCTTCTTCGGTTTCTTTTTGAAAGAATTTTTTTTAATAAATTATTTATGTGGGTTTTTGACTATGGTTGAATGTTTCAATTCTGATAGATTTTGTTTTGTATATATATGCATGTATTATTGGTTACTTTCAAGTGTAGATTTGTATAATTAACTGTAGCTGGAATTTATTTTAATTGCATTATTTGGAATTTTAGTAATGTTGTGAGCTAATTTACATTTGAAGAACAAAGAAATTGCTATTACTCTTCTAGTCTGAGTTTTTAGAATGCGAATGGTGTAGATGGTTTAATTATATGGTGTTCTGAGCTCATGATACATTGTTTATGATAATGAATTGATCACCATTTTGTTATCTTCAAACTAGGGACCCCAGTGAGTCGCTGGGCATCGGTGGCTTTTGGTGCTGGAGTGGGCATTGGGTCTGCTTACACCGAATGTTCTCATATATTTGATGGATCTGCAAAGTTGGAACCTCCTAAGATATCAAATGTTCCTGCTCATGAGGTAGGATAGTTAGTTATGTAAAAGTAATTTTTTTTTTTTTTAATATTTTTTTAGATTCTTCTTGCCCCAATTCTTGTGCTTATCTCATGCTAGATTTTGTGAATGTGTTGTCATATATTGGTCTTTATGGTTTTCTGTTTAACAGCAATAATCAATTTAACTTATCCTTTCCAAAAACAATAACATTTTTGCATACAACCATAATGAGCCCGAAACTTTCTTGTGGTCCTTTCTCATTAGATGAAATTTCTCAGTACCAAATTCGGTCTTATTGCTCCATATTTTTCTGTTGGTTGAATTGATTTGTGTAATTTTCTAATTGGTACTTCACTCAAGGTAGCTTTCCTAATAGGAATCTTAATACATGCACCTCTCAATCTCATTAAGAAGGTAATTTAAGAAGTTCGGTTTTAGTAAGTAATAAAAAAAAGAGTAAATCTCAAACACCAATATCTTTGTTGACGATCTTAGCTGATATAATAGTTCTATCCTGTAAAGTTATATGCAATGCCTCTCCGTTCTTAAATTATTTCAAAACCATTGATTATTAGTTCATGCATTATACATATTTAGATTTACACTAGTTTTAGAACAATGCCATTTGTCCAAGCACTATGTTCTCATGCATAATAGTGTGCATTTTCAAGTTAAGTCTCAATCCTCTATGTTAAGCTCAGTTATCTAAACTGTTAATTTAGTGTCATGCTTTCTTGTTGCAGCCTGCAAATCATTTTTATTTTAATTGTATTCTTATAGCACCTCAAATTTGTTACTCATTTCACACTTTCCCTAGTTTCCATGCATCTTCATGTCATAATCCTTCTTAGTGGGATAAGGCAGTTCAAGAATTCACATTTGTGTGTCTTTGGATATGTTTACTGAATTCACAGCTTGGATGACATTTTCTATATTCATCATTTCTTATTATCTTGGCACATCATTTCTTGTTATCTTGGCACCTTTGTTCTTGTACTATATGCTGATAGGGGATAGGCAGCACAGTCTATCACATTCTTTTATCTAAATCAACAGAGAGCTTATTAGGATTAATCCTGGAGATGTTATTATGTGGATGAGGAAATCAAAAAAATTCGAACTCAAAAGATCAACAATTTTAGAATTCTGGTCTAAATTTTATCTAGGATTTATCTTAGATATTACAATGTATTTCTCGTCCTTTCTAGAGTTATTTTTATGTGTCTATTTTAATAGTAAGTTGCTAGTCAAGCACTTTAAGTCTAAGCGGCAATTTTGTAATTTCATCTTTGTTGTTTTGCTTAGGAATATTTATATTTGTCATTTGGAGTCCTCATTGGTTAAGGATAATACTATGACTAATTTTGAAATCCTGTCGGATAAAGTTTTAGGAGTAGTTGGGCTCTACAAATATCCATCCTTGTAGTACCTCTTAATGAAGTTTTCAGTCAGTAAAATTAGAGCAGATTTTGCTTTTATCTTGAGTTGTGTGATGCAATTCTAACCGTAGAAAGCATGATTAGTTCTTGATAGGATGAGTCCTGGATCCCATTGGTGAGATACTGATAATTCATTTTTTTTTGCTAATTTTTACTTTATTTTCTAAAGAAATCAGATCTGCCACATTGATATTCAAGCTCTAATTCTTGATTTCTATAAACCATAGCCCTAATTTCCTAGGACTTCAAGTGTTCTCGAGCTGTCCAGTGTCATATTGATTTCTTCTTTGGCTTTATGTTTTACTTATATAGATATGAAATTCACTTCTTGGCTGACTGTGATTTGGTAAAGATATCTGGTGGACTGAGCTGGACATTTGTTCACATTACTACTAATGGGAATAGACTGAGCTGCAATCTCTCTCATACTACTAATAGGGATAAGCAAAGGCTGATTATGAATATATTTGTGTGATTACTCAGGTCAAACCAAAATCATAACTTGTATCCATCCTCTTTATGCTAGTTGATTCATGAATAAAAGTTTAGAATTTTAGTTTGATCATTGATGCTTCTATGATGTGCTACCATAGCAATGTTATAATTTTGAGCTGTTAAGTATTATTGTTTTGGTCCTGATTCTATCAGGATTTTATGTTCAAATTCGTTTTTTCATTAGGATTTATGTTTAAGATCTCGGATTTTATGTATAAAACTTTGTTCTAGTTGGATTATATGCTATGTAAAGGTTTATAATGATTAGAACATTTCGGATTTTTGAGATTAGAAAAAAAAAATTCTGGTTTATTATTTTTCCTGGTTGTGTAACCAGAAGTTCTAGCCTATTTAGGTTAACAGTTTGGTCTCTTTGCCTCTCTTTTCAATATTCTCTTGTCCTATGTAATCTAATTTAGGATTAGGGTTATTTTGCTACATCAATTATCAAGTACAATTCTTTTACCTTGTCTAGCCTGTTACTCCTCAAACCTTTTCAACCTTTCTCTTGCAACTCCTTTCAATTTCAACTTTGCAAATAGTACTTTACGCTCTTCAGGTATTGGTTTCCAACTCAAAATAGGTTCTAGCTAAATCCCCAATCTAGGAAATCTTCCACATGCATTTTATCATTGAAATTAGGACTTCATTTTGAACTCCTGAATTAAGATTAAGAGCTCCCACCAACCACTCTTCAATCCAATCCATTGTGTTAGGGTTGTAAACAATTCACAAGATTTTGAAATGGGTTAATATTCTCTTCTATATCTTCTTTATCCTCAACTCCTCCTTGTAGAAGTTTCAAGGGATTGTGATTGCCATCCAGTATCTGCATCTAGCTCATGGTTGTTAGAAATGCGAGTTGAGTCGTAAACTCGTTACGACCCCAACTACCTAGAACATGTTCAATCGGAATTAGAATCACAATTTTCAAAATTGTATGTGAAATCGGTGAAATCGTTCAAATCGGTAGAAATGGAAAACTAGGAACTATTTTAACATTGATGATCAGAAAAGAGGAGAAGGTATAACAGTGAGCTTTATTGAAAATAGAATTAGAAATTAAAATCTCCCCTTCTCTCTTGCAACTCTTGTGTAGTTCTATTGGCTCTTCGTGAAAGGAATTTGAATTGATCGAGATCGAGGTATTTAAGAACTCAGGGAATGAAGGAAAAGCCAAGTATTTGCATTCAGGTTCATCTTCAACTGTTCTTCCATGGCTGTGAATGTATGAGATCAGTTATGCCTTTGCATCGGGAAAGGTAGAGAGAAGTGAGACACATGAAGCTCGGAAAAAAGATAAGAAAGTCGTTTTTCTTTTTAATTTAAATAGAGAGTATTTTAATTTAGTTTGGTTGGGGTGAATCGAGCTGTTTGATTTTGAATAGGACAAATATTTAGATACGTTTATTTATTAACTTATCAAAAGAAACTTCTATATCTATATATTTAAAAAGTGAAATTGCAAAAAAAAAAAAAAAAAAAAAAAAAAAAAAAAAGCCAAGAAGAGGGGTGAAAAAAAAAAAAAAAAAAAAAAAAAAAAAGCCCAAGAAGAGGGGTGTAAAAGGCAATTAATTGGATGGGATTGTAAATTTAAGAATTTTATGCCTAATTAAAAATTACTAATTTCTTTTATTTCATTTTTAGAGCACTTTTTAGTTTGGTAAATTATTATTTTTATCCAATATGATATTACATTCTTATTGTTCAAAAAATATTAAACAATCTGTAAGTTGTATTTTATTATTAATCAATTCATCTTGGTTTTTCATTAAATTATGTAATTCATAAAATCTTACGATTTTACGATTTGATTTATGATATGATTTTATGCACCCTCCAACAGTCCTAGTTAAAAAAGCAATTTTAACAACCTTGTCCAGGCTCCCACATAATTTCCATTCAAGTTTATTACTACTTGTATAAGTTGTTCCATCAGTCCTTTTGCATCTCAAGGGCTTGGTTTGAGGTTGATGCACCCTAGAAATTCTCTCTCTCTTTGCTGCCATTGCAGTTTTGGATTGAAATTCTTATCAAATGCCAGAATTGATGTACAAAATAATCCTAATCTTACATTAGGTCAAGTCAGACATGAGAATGAGAATATTGAAAAGAGAGGACAGGGAGACCCAAACCTCATCCTAAATAGGCTCGAGCTTTTGGTTAAACAACCAGGAAAAATAAATAACCAGGGTTTTTTTATTCACCCTCTTGCAAGCCCATAAATATGGATGCCTCATGCACTGGGTCAACCCTCTCACTCAAAAATCTGAAAATCTTCTTCTAAATAGAACATTATACCCTTATGTATTGCATATAATCCAACCAGAATAAAGCTTTAAACATAAAATCCTAAGAACATAGTAATTAAATGTACAAGGCAGACATAGGTGCAAAGGGCTGTTGTAGCCTAGGCCTGGGCATAGACATATGCCCAAGTGAGGTGAGGTGCAATTAAAAAAAAAAAAAGCACATGAAAATTATATTTTAAGATATAAAAAAAAGGTGGAAAAAAAAAAAAAAACACAAATGAGGGAAAAAAAATCAGCAGCATAACAGCTTATATTTAAGATTGGAGTTAAGAGAAAAAGGAGAAGCAAGAACATAGAAAATAAAAGGGAGAAGAAGGAAAACAGAAAGCAAGTATGGGAAGAGAAATTGTATAATATTTGGATGGCTAAATAGCTAAAGGCTGGATTGCAGGAGGTGAGTGGGAAGCCAATGCTGGATGGAATAGTGGAGGCTGGATTGCAGAGCACAACAATGTTAGAAGGTGTTGCATTCTGTTTCTTATTTATGTATTTATTCTAGCTAATAGATGCTAGCCAGACAGCTTTGATTGAATGAAAACTTTAGGCGACTGTTTAGGGAAAAAAATAGAAAGGCGCGCTTCTGCCCAAGGCGAGTGCCTCAGCAAGGTCACCCACCTCAAGGCATTTGAGGCCCAAGCCCTTGCGCCCTAAGGCTTGCCTTCAATAACTATATCCAATGGAACTAGATCTTGAACTTAAATCCTAACAAAAGAAGACCTTGAATTTAAAATCCTGATAGAATTAGGTATTGACCAAAATGATAGAAATAAATAGTAAGCCACAAATTATAAAATTGCTACAGTAGTGACCTGCATCACTAGTTCCGTTAATAATTTTAAATAATTGTGTGCTAGCTGTCCTTCAAGTTGGCCTCATGGTAATTGCTCTACTTAATATTGGTTTTCCTTCAAGTCTTTTGTTATACTAGTTGCTTGTCAAAAATGTTTCACTGATGTGATTTCCTCTACCTTCATCTCAGCTCGATTCCAAGTCATTTTGAATGGGCCACATGCACATTGTCTTAGTGTTTGGCTGCTTTTCAGATTTCTTCACTCATAATGCCTTTACTTATAGAAACATTTTATAGGCTTCTCTCCATCTTTAAGTTAAAAAATTGATTGGTCTAAACTAAACGCAATGAGCTTTTAGAAAACCTTGGAGTTTGCCTTGATCAATGTCTTAGCTAATGCTCACTCTGTAAACAAGAATTTTCATTTGATTACTTTTCGAAGGAACAATCCCCCAAAAGATATTTTCTTGCAAAATAATTAATTGAACCTTCGGCAAGACTAGTGAGCTTGTGAAATGAGCAGTGAAAGTGAAATGACAGTATTACTGGAATGCTGCAGCAGATATGTTAAATTCAGAATGGTATGAACTTGACAAGAGAAGGATAATAAGACATTGAACTAGTGTCCTTGTAAAAGCTTACTAGGTTGAGGGCAGAATAGTCCTATTGAAGTTAATGTTGATGCTTCAGAGTTGGTAGGCGAATTGTTCTATTCTTATCTTATTACATTTGATCGAAGATATCTAGAGTCGCATGAGTTGTTGAGGTATTTATTTCATTTGCGACTTCCTGAAGCTTTGGCACACAGTGTAGGTTGAGGTGTCACAAAGGATCACTAAAAACAATCATGGGTTTAAGTTGGGAGATTAGTTATGGAGGCAGTATTTCTTGGTGGGTTGATGGAAAATTATTGAGCAAAAGAAGATATCTCAAATATGGTTTTCTAATGGGGTGAGGAAGAAATGTAGTATACGTGGATGCATAAATGTTTTGAATAACGTCTGTGTAGGTAGGGTAGTGAAATGAGAGAACTATTATGGATGAAATGAAGATATTACCTGTTACAATTGACTTATATCAAGACTATCCTTGAACACTATCTGTTTGCTTTGTCTATAAATGAATTGCATATTTAAGAAGATAATTCTTGGTTTGAGCCTTTTATCATTGACTTGATTCTAATGGATGAAACTGGAGCAAGGATTAAAACTAGGAGTTGAAGTGGTAAAGAAGCACAGAAAACCTAGGATTTAAGGTAATTCATGGAACATATGCATTGTGATTTTCGCCTGATAAAGAAAAAGTAAAAGATTTTAGTAAAACTAAAAGATTGCAAAAGCAGTCACTTTCAATACCTAGGTCTTCTCATTTATAGAATCCAGGCAGAATCAATTGTACAATATTTTTGAAATGAAGAAATACAATGGGCACATTAATTGATTTCAGTATTCTTGCTAATAGCGCAAATATTTTTCATTATAACCACTACATTTAGAAAGAATGAGATTTGAAATTTTTATGAAATATTTTGCTGATTTTTAAAATGTAGGCTTAAACTTGTAATTTTAGTCACAAGCATTTTTTATCTATGAACTCACTAGTTTTATGGGTGCATTCAGGCCACGAAAGGAATGTTATTTTGACTGGGTTCTTACTATTGAATATCAATATGTTTTTGGATTGGGACTTTTTATTCATAAATGGATACTAAAAGAAGAATTTATATGATTAGTGTTTTTGTTTCCAGGATGTTCAGGGCTGAGCTGATCTTTAAAGGTCATGATGATTGAGCTACAATTCAGGATTTTTCTTGAAATTGAGATTGTTGTTCGCTTTTGACAATGGAGTTCAAACATTGTTCTTTATGGATAAATAGTTTAACGTTCTGTATTACAAATTTCTTATGATCCTATTACTTTCTGTTTGTAATTTGAGGTAAATTTTCAGTGGGAATAGGAAAAGAAAGAAATAATAAGAAAGGAACATTTACATTTTGCCCATTCTTTCTTAGAATTTATATGTTGGCAAAGGATAATCTTTCAGTCTTAATAGAATTCAGAATCCTCTAATTTCACCGGGTCAAGTTGTCCATGAACTAATTGGATTTGATTCTTAAACGATTCTTGAGTTTAAAATTTAAATTCAGTGCAAATTTGAATAATGAATCAAGTTATATTCGAGTATTATTCGATTTGAGTAATCCATGAATTTATTCAAGTAATTTACGAATATATTGTCTTTCAAATGATTTGCTTTTTTATTTGAATTCAGACTTGAGATTTTAAGATTGAGTTTTTACACCTCAGACATTTGCTTGATTTGGGTTCAAACAAAAACTAGTAATTTATTGTTTAAAAAAAATAGTTTTTTTTTTTTTTTTTTTTTTTTTTTTTATCAGTGCAAATTGAAATGATGAATCAAGTTATCATTCGAGTATTACGATTTGAGTATCCAGTGAATTTAATTCAAGTAATTTAGAATATCAGTGTTCTTTCAAATGAATTTGCTTTTTATTTGAATGTCAGACTTGAGAGTTGTGTTTAAGATTGAGTTTTACAACCTCAGACATGTTAGCTTGAGTTTGGGTTCAAGACAAGAAACTAGTATGTGTTATTCGTTTAAAAAAAATAGTTTTTTTTTTTTTTTTTTTTTTTTTTTTGCAATTTTTTTTTTTTTTTTTTTTTTTTTTTTGCAAGGACAGTACAATGCATTACAATCCACTGAGGGGATCGTTTGCATTAAGAATTTTATAATTAATCATATGATAATGTTAATTTTAATCACGTTATGATCTTTGGTCAATCATATGATAAATGTTAAGGATTAAATCCAGGATTTCTTGATCCTAGGACATCACCCCTATCACCAGGGCAGGGAATCATTTGCATTAAAAATTATTTATTTAATCATATGATATATGATAATTTTAAGATCTTTGGTCAATATAGAGGTTATACACAAATTTTTGTGTTGGTACAACTTTTGTTGGCTTTTAGATAACGAAGCATATAAATGAAATGTTGGTTAAAAACATCTTCTACAAGCTTGGTCAAATGTTGGTTAAATGAAATGTGAGAATATAATCTAATGATTAAAAGATTAGATTTAAAAATCATAAAATATTACGGTTTAAGACTTTTAGTAAATATATAGATTAAATAAAACAGAAAAAGAAATATGTATATTTAAAGATAGATTTATATAGTTAATTGAAATTTCAAAGTTATGAAACTTTTCATAAATCAAAAGTAAATTTGGCATTCTAAAAAACAAAAGAAAGTAAAATTGATTGTTATTACAGTGAATCTAAAAATTATTTATAGTGAAAATCAAATAAATTTTTGATAGCCAAAGAAAATAAAATTATTTGACGAAATAAGTAACTTGGTGGTGATTTTTTCTCCAGAGAGAATATATAAAATAGTATGATAGGATAAAACTTCTACAATACGATTCTGATTTCTAAATAAGATTGACAAAATTTTAAATTCTTAATTAAGATAAGGTAAAACTTCCTGATCGGAATCAATGATATATATTTGATTTAATATTGAATCATAATTAAAATTTTGTATTCTTAATTTAGTATTGATATAGCATGTTTTTTTTTTTTTTTTTTTTTCTTAATTTAGTATGATATAGCATGGTTTTTTTTTTTTTTTTTTTTGTGGTGTATAACCATCCAGTTTCCACCTAATTCGGGTCGGGGATTTTGAAGCTGAGAGAGAAATCTGACAACTTGTGGACATAACCAAAATGTAGCTACTGTGAGTGTTCATTCGCATTTCGAGCTATAATGTTTGAGGTCCATGAGTCTTCTGAGCCAATTGAAAGTTTCTGAATCATGGTTGCGATGCATGTTCTTCAGACTCGCCAAGTGCACCGCATTCCAGTTACCTATTCTCAATAGCTGATTTTTTTTTTTTTTTTTTTTTTGTGGTGTAAACCACCAGTTTCCACCTAATTCGGGTCGGGGCATTTGAAGCTGAGAGAAAATCTGACACTTGTGACATAACCAAATGTAGCTACTGTGATGTTCATTCATTATCAGCTAGTAATGTTTGAGGTCCATGATCTTCTGAGCCAATTAAATTTTGATTCATGTGCGAATCATGTTCTTCCCAATGCACCCATTCTATTACCTATTCAAATTCTGATTTTGTGGCGCACCCAAGGAGGATATTATTCCATGCTCGCTTATATAGCACATCTTCACATAAGATGAAATTGGAGGTCAGTTGCCTCAAAGTATGCTTATCTGACTTTGAAGCAATTTTTGGATACTGACTATAGTTGAGGAGGTTTAGGATATCCTGAACCATGGCTTATCATCAATAGCTTGAATACTTAGGTAGAAAGCAGGCTCTTTCTAGGCCTGAATTGCCAGCGTTCGGCTTGCCATTCCTTCTGAGGTATTTACAATGAAAGTCAAAGTAGCTAAAATGTCCACAAACTGATTCTTAGACTAGGCTAGGTAGTGGAAAGATAAGTCTTGGAATTGTTGCAACAAGTTGGCCAAAAGTTGATGGTAAGGAACCAAATGTTCTTCCTTTATCTTCCATTTTCCTAATGCTTGAGATATTATTAGGTTAGAGTCCCATAGACGTCATAGTCAGCCTCATTGTTGGTCACTGCCTTAATTGTTATTGGCATATATTCTCCATTTGGGGTGACAAGCATGACTCTAATCCCATAGTACTGTTCGAGGCTCCATCAAAGTACATCTTCCAAATACTTGGCTTAAATATTAAGATATTTTTGTTGGGGCTTTAGGCTTGAATAGCTCATTGTTAATCGAAGTGGCTATAAATTGATTGGTTAACATTGCGTTTGATTGATTTTCTAGCAATAGACTTCAAGTCGAATGTCGCTCATACCGCCTTTCACCTTATCATCTTGTTGTCGAGAACCAACCTTTCTTTAAGGAATTTTAAGGAGCTTTAATCAACAATGACATGTGTAAGGTAAAAGTACAAGTAGTGTTATAACTTTTGGCAAATCCATACTGGTGCTATGCAGAGTTTTTCATTCGACTGTATTTCAATTCATGGACTTGCATGCATTTACTAAATAGTAGATGATGTTCTTATTTTGTGAATCGTAGACTTTTTATGCAAGAATGGTCCCCATGAATTCTTCAGTCATCAATAGGTACAATAATAGAGGTTGCCCTAGTCAAGGTAGTTGAAGGATAGGAGGATTTAACATGTACTCCTTAATCTTTCAAAGGCGATTTGGCAATCATGATTCCACTCTTTCGAAGCTCCTTTCCTCTAGAGTTTGAATATAGGCCCACAAGTGTTTTTCAATTGGACTATGAATTTGCTGATGTCCCGTAGGTAGCCTATAAAACCTCTAATTTCCTTCTCGATCTTGAGAGTTGGCATTTCCAAAATTTCTTTTGATTCAATGGGTTGACCTTTATTCCCTCTTGCTAACCATATATCCTAAGAATATTTTTGAGGATGCTTCGAATAAGCACTTTATGGGGTTCACCCGAGGTTGTATTGACGGAGTCTAAGGAAGAATCGCCTTAAAGCACAAAGGTGATCCTCAGTTTTCTTGGACGTGATGACTATGTCATCCACATATACTTCCACATCTTGATGCATCATATCATGGAAGATAATGGTCACTATCCTTTATTGAATTGCCCTAGTATTCTTTAATTTGAAAGTCCTTACCTTGTAACAGTAGGTGCCCAATCTATGATGAATGTCATTTTCTCATTATCCAGAGGATATATTGGAATTTGGTTGTACGTGGCATATAAGTCTGTTAATGAAACCATTTCTGACCGAGCTAAATATAGTAGCAGATCGATATGGAATAAGGGGAAATCATCCTTAGGGCATGCCTTATTTAGATCTATGTAATCCACACACATTCAATTTCCCCATCCTGTTAAGAATAAGCACTATGTTAGTCAACTATTAAGCGTAAGTGAATGGCTCTATGAACTCGTTATCTAAGAGCTTGATGACTTCTTCCATGATCTTCAAGCACTATCCAAGCTTCAACCTTCTCAATCCTGTTTAATTAGCGTGATTTGATCATAAGTAGGAATATTGTAAAAGGCAATCAATGGGTCTATTCCTGTCATATCCTTGATTTTCCATACAAAACAATCTTTGAACTTCTTAATGAAATTGATCAAGCCTTGTCTTAATATCCAGAATGGATAAAGGTAGGCCTTGGATCATTTTTCTTGCCAATATTGCATGTTCTATTCACTTTCATTTTCATTTCATTGATGTTAGAATCAAATGGTGATGCAAAGGAAATGAAGACCACATGCGAGTAAGCAAAAAACTAGAATTTATTATTGATAAGGAGACCATCAAAGGTCATAAGTTACATCTTAATTGAATACTAGACCCTCAAGGTCAAATACAAATGAATCACTAGAAGACCCTACAGATTCAGGCTTAGACTTAGACTCGGAAGACTCTTCTGGGAGGTATAACTCAATAGCAAAAGGGGATCCATTATAGTACCATGGCTATATGGTGAAGAATGCAAGAAATTAATAAAATAATTTGAGGACAAGTTATAGATGTAATAAACATCATATAAAGGACAAGATGTGTTGCAACTAGAAGGATAATATGCATGTTTATGATAGGAGAAATAATACAAGCATCATAAGTAAGTCCAACCTTAAGCTTCAAAGAATTATATGTATATATATCCCTCTGACAATTTGACCCAACAAAGCGGTTGAAGAGAGCGGGTAGGCTCTTGGAAAACTTCTAAAATGACATGCTAGTTAGGATAGTGGAATGTAAGGCATATGAATGAATCGAATCTTATATTGAAACAGGGAAAAACTAATTACTGGAGGTGCCTTTTGGTGGAATAGCTTGGAGAGTTGGAAGAACTTTGGGGTTAAGCATGCTTTAGAATTGGTGACCTCCTGGAAATTCTCCATTCCATTTGCAGGACAAAACCGTGTGGATCTTGTCCAAATTCAAGATGGGGTGAAATTGGCTAGATACAAAGCAAACAATTTTCTAATGGTTAGAGTCAGGGTGCGATAATTAGTATCAGAGATGGACCTCTCTAGTAG